TATATATATATATACATGCACGCTTATTCCTGCACAACATCCTGGGAATGGCTCGGATTGGCCTTTTCATTCTTAGTTTCAATTTTCACGAGCCTTGACTATTCATTCGTAAGAAATAATCAGTTCTTGTTTAATAGATATGGCATATATGTAATTTATATCTTTTTAATATAATGTAATATAATATAAATATTAATAGGTATGTGTGCCATGCAATATATGTCATATAATAGTATTTCTACTCGTCAATTTAATTGCATCTTATTTGGCAGAGTGGCAAAGGTGTCACCACTACTGGTAAAGGTCGTGGAAAGCCAATACAATGTCCGCAACCGCAACAGCAGCAGCAGCAACAGCAAATTCAACAGCCGATACAGCAGCAGGTCTTTATACAACAAAAACAACAACAGCAACAACTTCAACAGCAGTATCAGCAGCAAGTACAGTCTTCTCAACAACAAATACAACCCAAAGCTATTATGGGTAAGAAGAATACTCGTTTGAATGGTTGGTATTTTAATGATACAGTGTTTAAATGTGAAACTCTAATGTTTTACATTTACATAATATATAGATAATAAATGCAAATATATATGGTGTTTACAAATAATATTTAACTATGGCAATTTTTTTGTTACAGCAAATATGACTCTACAGCAGCAGCAACAACCGGGTGTTGTTTTGAACACAGATCGTTCAATTGTGCCGATAGTCTCGGTGGGAATTAGAGTTGCTCCTACGTCGCAGATGAATCAGACATCGATGTCGACCGTACAGCAGGTGCCTTTATCGGTGATTATAACTCATATTAAAATTTATGTTATTAAATTATATTAAAATTTTAGTATTAAAATAGATTATATCTAGAAAAGATTACTAGAGTATTCAATAATTATAATTATGATAAGGGCTGTTGGAACCCGGTAAGCAGGATGTTATTGCCGTAAATAAATGTATTATAATCAAACAATCGCTCGTGAAAAGTTCAAATTAATTAATAGGCCGATACGAGCAATAAAATACAGGATGACAGCGTATGAACAATAGTCTTTATTCAAAAAGACACAAAAAAAACAAACGTTTCAGTCCACAATTTTGGACCTTCCTCAGTGTAATAATTGTTACATTCAAATAGTTTAACACATCGCTTCAATATAACAAAATAATGTCAATCGAACATGACGATGAAATACAAATATTGTGTACTGGTAGTCCAAAATTGTGGACTGAAACGTTTGTTTTTTTTTTGTGTCTTTTTGAATAAAGACTATTGTTCATACGCTGTCATCCTGTATTTTATTGCTCGTATCGGCCTATTAATTAATTTAAATGTATTATATCTTATTTACAAACGTTTCGATGGTTTTTATTCAAACCATCTTCAGTGTATATCTATATAGGTTTTAACTAACAATCCTTCATATTCAAGCGATGTCTGTATGTTAGTCCGAAAAAGAAATTAAGTGTCAACATAATAAAAATGTAAGGTAATGTCAAAGCCATCGTCTTGTACTGTGTTTGACATTACCTTACAATTTTATTATATTGACACTTAATTTCTTTTTTGGACTAACATACAGACATCGCTTGAATATGAAGGATTGTTAGTTAAAACCTATATAGATACACTGAAGATAGTTTGAATAAAAACCATCGAAACGTTTGTAAATAAGATATAATACATTTATTTACGGCAATAACATCCTGCTTACCGGTTCCAACAGCCCTTATCATAATTATAATTATTGGCATAACCAAAGGAACCCGAGGAAACACCTCAATACTCAGAATACTAGAGTATTCTCTGATATATATTAATGTACAAAAAAATAAGAAGTTCTTCCGTTTGTTATATAAAGAGACATGTTAAAGAAGATAAAAAAAAAAAAACATTTCTTTTTTTAGGCTATCAATCATACAATAATAAGTAATCAAATAATGAGCGGGACGTCGCAAGTTCAAACGATGCCGATCGTAAACACAACGCAGGATCAGCCTACGCACGACAATACCAACTCGGCAATAATGATCACATCGCCAGATCGAAATCAATCGGCCGAGTGTTCTTTGATATTGCCGTCTACCGTAAATCCTCCGATGGTGACTGACGAAAACGCGAAATTACCGTCAAAGAAAGATGATGTGCCTGCCATTATGGAGGAAGCCGCAACAACACCTCAATCTGAAGTAACAGGTACAAATCTTTTGTTTTTACTTAATATAAATATCATAAATTTCTATAGTTTGGATAAAGATAATTAAAACGTTCGCTCTTCAATAATGAAGATGTAACACAATGTAAGACGACACCTGTGAGAGAAGAGGAACCGATCGTCGTAAAAACGGAGGATAAACAGTGCAATAATCCGTTAGCGGGGCTTGCCAATACAGTAAACGCAATTACGAACGGTGTGGTTGGCGATGAGTCATCAACTACGCCAGTAGTCGTAGTGAATAGTAAGCAAGCTCCGCCTAAAGCTATGGTGAAGCCACAGGTTCTCACGCATGTAATAGAAGGATTCGTGATACAGGAAGGTAGAGTTTGTTGCGTTTACCTTTTTTTCTTATAATCGATCACATTTTGATTTTTCGCCCATTTTATATAAATCTGTCACTAGTGAATATATGATTTCATGTTGTTGTAATTTGATTTTTCTCACAGCGTCAGAACCGTTTGCAGTGAGTCAAGAAACCACTAATATTCTTAATCGGAGTAACGCAACCACAGAAAGGGATACTCATGATGAACCTCCGAGTAAGTAAAATCTCTAATGAGAAAATGCGGTGTGTTTATAATATCTTAAATTTAATTAATAAATTATAAAAAAAAACTACTGTGAATTTTTAGAAAAGAAACACGCTCCTAATCATTCTAACGAGGAAGACGGAACTAGTGGTCAGGTTATTAAATGCGAAAATTGTGGCAATACGATTGACGAACAGAATGTCAAGCTCAAGAAAGAAAAACGATTCTGCTCGTCAACATGTGCAAAAAAGTAAGCGTGTATTTTTTTTTTTTATATATATATATATATAATATACATTAATAAGCAAATATTGTCAGATTTTATTTAGAAATTATTTTGGAGATATTCTTTTCTTAAAATAAAAAATTTATATTTTATTTTTGCAGCAAAAAGCGCGAAACGCGAGATCGTGACGATACGGAGAAACAGTGGACTGAGATAGAGACTGAGACGAGAACTGTTGATAACGACACGATGAAAAAGAATGGCGAAGAAAAGTTGTTGTCCACAACCACCACCTCTTCCGCCGACGAATCAGTGCAGAAAGTAAACCCAGTGAAATGGACGGTAAGCGTGTATTTTTACACAAAGACGTAAAAAAAAATTATATATTAATATTCTTTGGAAGTAGTGTTAATGTTTTTGATACATACAGGGTGTCTGACAACGAACTATAAAGCCGACGTGTGTAGGTAGATCGAGTTATTCTGAACGGAAAAGTTATATACCATTTTGCAAAATTCGCAATATTTATTGAGATATGAATTAATAAATTTGAACCAATGAAGGGACGCGGGGAGCGATGATCGGACTCTATAGGCGTGCACGATTATCAGATGAAAAGAAAAATGGCTTCTCTCATGTAATGTCTTAGTAACGAGAGGCGGAGTGAACAAACAAGCGCGGAACGACTCGGTTTCTTGCGATCGGGCGCTATTCGGCGGTACGCAGCGAGCAGCGGCGAGCGAGGAGTAGAGCTGACAATTGTGCACGCCTATAGAGTCCGATCATCGCTCCCCGCGCCCCTTCATTGGTTCACATTTATTAATTCATATCTCAATAAATATTGCGAATTTTGCAAAATGGTATATAACTTTTCTGTTTCAGAATAACTCGATCTACCTACACACGTCGGCTTTATAGTTCGTTATCAGACACACCCTGTATAATCAAATAAAATTGTTTTAAAAACAAATTCTTTTTCTTTTTCACACACAGGTTGGTGAGGTGTGCGATTTTATACGCGGTTTACCGGGATGTGCGGATTACGCGGAAGACTTTGCCATCCAGGAGATTGACGGTCAAGCTCTTATGTTATTGAAAGAAGACCATTTGATGTCCGCGATGAGTATAAAACTGGGTCCGGCGTTGAAAATTGTCGCCAGAATCGATTCAATGCGGGTGGAATCGATGTCAAACTCTAATCCCGCGTCGAATAATTAATAAACTGCCTAAGCCTATCCGCTGAAGAAATCATCAGTTCCCGAATACAACTGAAATATTCCACCTTGTAAAATACAGGACTTGTGCAAGTAATTCGATCAAATGTGACATTAGAATTTAAATTTCTCAACGATCAAAAATGTCAGAGTACGCGCCAAACACAATGGACGATTTTCTCATGCTGAGATATTCGACGAAGTTTTCAACGACGTCTTCTCGTGACTCCTCGCCTTATATGTGTGAAAATAAGGCAGTTTCTTGTACAATTTATTTTCTTAAGGAAGTTGCAACGACGAGTGAGAGGGTATACATGGTTTTTAAGTTTGAATGTATAGACGAAAATATAAAAGAGGATCAGTCCGTGTAAGCTACTAATTGATAAATTGTTTTATAACAAAAAATGAAAATCATATACCACACGCACGGACGATGTTCATGAGTTTCACTCAGCCTTTTTTTTTTTTTTTTTTTTTTAGCATAGTCTACAGTTTTTTAAAATGGATTCCAAACTACTCGCAACATCTATCGAATGTATGGGGCTGTAGGATCGCATATACTTTTTTATAAATTCTCTTTTCAGATGCTTGTGAATAAAAAGTCGCAAAGTTACGGGGATCGACAATTTTTGTATTAAATTATTCGTTCAAAAATTGCTTAAAATTCGAAATTGTTTTCCAGAGCATCATCCGTACGTTTTGTAATATATTTTGTAATTAGTTTTTTAGTAATATAATTTAAACGAATATACAAAGATTTTTTTTTTACAATATATCTTTGTTTTTTTTTTTTTTGGAATTTATATTTTCTAATATGTTTTGTAGTATATTTTCTGATATGTCTTTTCTAGTGAATTTTTATTATTTCTCTCTTTCTTGCGAAGAGATCAGAAACATAATTGTTCTCAATCAAATTTAGCTATATAGGGCATATTGTCCAAATGAAAAAAACTTACACTGACTGATATTCAGACACGTGTACATAATGATCAAAAGCATGTTCGCGAAAAAAAAAAAAAAAACAATTGAGTTTGTTAAAAAAAAAAAATATATATATATATATATATTATATACATATATACATATATATATGTATCTGTGAATGTTTCTCTAAAGTGCACTATTTTATATATATATACGAAACGTATAAACGGGAAATCTGTTAAAAAAAAAAAAAAACAGTACAAATTGTGTCCATTATGCAACAGAGAAGAACACATATTGTACATAAAAAAAAGACAAAAAGAATGCATGCTGCATTTTGTATTATCGGATAATATGCATATTGCCTTCATTGTATGACACACAAAAAAGCTTTTGTCTGATGAGATCATTTTCGACATTTTTGTTTTTCTTTTAAAAGTATTATATAGTAATTTTTACGATGATGAGATCGATCATCATATTAACGTACTTCTATCATTCGTACTTTCGTAATTTGTATGCGGTTTTTTGTAAATGTAAGATACGTGCTCGATTGATCTTGGCGTAAGTGTAAATAGTAAACATATAAGATGTTTATTTAATATACAGATTTTATAATATAAAAAAAAAAAAACAATTTTAGTTGTTGAAAATTATCCTTCCATTATTATTAGTATCACAGTCTGACAAAAGTTGTATAAATTATTTTTACTCTCTAAAAAAAAAAAATTCCACTTCTATCATATAAGTGTGTATAGTACGAATAACTTATGTTATAAGGAATTGTATATCACAGTAGTATTTAAAAATAACGCCTTTTTAGTAGAAAATGATGAAACAAATTAGAAGCTCTCAGACGTAGTAAAATTTTTAAGTTAATCTCACCGATGAAAATAAAAATTTACATCACTTTTGAAGCTTATCAGAAGAGTTGCCTTTTTCTATTTTATAATCGTAAAAGAAATTTTACTTTTATATGTCGATATGGAACCGCAAGATGTGTTCTAAATTTGATAGAAAAATCCATAGTGTTTGAATTATAACAAACAATGATTTATACAATTATATATAGTAGTATATGTCTCTTTGTATATTATATAAGACAAACTCTTTAAGGGAGGAAGCAATATAATATTCAGAAATATATCATAGATTACAAGTTTTTCCCGCACTCTGTTCATGTCCATCGATAGAAAATAGAACGTATGTAAATGTCATTTTTCGTGATATTTCACTCATTTTGTATAAATGCTTTTTTTTTATTTATTTTAAATAGCATTTTACTGAAAACTCGAAAATGCAAAATGTGGGAACTTTGAGAATTTGTTTCTCAAAGCTAAATAGACATGTCAATTTTCTTACATGTTAGAGAGAAAAAAATTTATTTAAAAAATTAGAACAAACTGGCGCACCAAGTTTGTATTTGATTGCCATAAATAATTGTAAATGTAAATCTAAATTCATGTTACAAATTCGAGGTTCGAAATTTTGCATTAACTTAATGAAATTTTGGAATGTAACTCAGGGTCACACACATACTTTTATACTATACTTTTTTATACACAATAGAGAAAAGCTTTCTCTGCTGATAGAAATAAAAACTAAATTATTATTGTACAATGAAACAAATGATGTGTATAAAAAGTTAACTGAAACTTCTCAAATAAAAAATTAAATTATAATTAATTACGAGTCAAGATTATTTATAGAAACAATACTACGTATAATAAAATTTATATTTTTTATATTATCTTTATATTGTTTAAAGTTTGATAGTTTCTTCTACTTTTGTGTAATGTGCAAATTTATATAAATTGTTCGGTATTTTTTAATAAATAATTTTTAACAGCTGTTTTACTTGAGATAATCAGAATATTTCAAGCATTATTATTTAATTAGACACACACAAAAATATACATAGTAATATTATATTATGTGCTATTTTAACGCTGTTAGTCATGACTGTTTTTATATTAATTATATAAATAATTGTTTATAGAATTACATTTACATGTATACTTTACAATCCACAAATATATAATTCTGATTCATACTATTTTTTTTTTTGTTTTTGTTTTTTAATTCTATTTATGAATAATAAGTAGGATTTTTTTATACACATAAAGACTGCTACTTCGTAACATAACTATGCTCTACGATGACAATTGTATATTTGGATTATCTTCTATAATTCTACCCTCAAACAAAAGTTCATCCTCGGTCAGTTGATTCTGTGCTGTTTGCACGGGTCGAACATATCGCACGTATTGGTATATCGTATAACCGAGAAAAACACTTGCAACGAATGTGACACCCATGCAGGTATTAACAAAGCCTCTGTGCAATTTGTTGTACAATAATTCCTTCCTTTGTCTCTTTCTAAGAGCTGGATCCATTGCAAATTAATTGTTGTGGTTCCACGTTATACTTGGTTTTTATCACGAGCTGAAAATATATATTAACATGTAAAATAAATTTTAATGTTAAATGACACTGATGTGTGTTCATATGATATTTGTATGTGTTTTGATGTGTGACTTTCAGATGATAAATAACCTCAAAAAAATTCAGTAAAACACTCTATCATACATGGTTGTTTGTGTGTTGAAATATATACAATGTTTACACACTAACGTAAATATATCGTTTTATTTTTTTCAACTTGTTGATGTTTCTGTGAATGACAAATTTGAGGATTTTCTTCTGATAGATCTTCTAAATTTATTGAAATTTAACCGCATCCAACTGTACCCCACATGGGACGTATATACCACCGACCACGTTACCACGATACGGCGCTACGATATCACGACGTATGCAAAGTCAGTTAGTTGCAAATATATCTCGACCTACCGGATATATAAAAAAAAAAAATAATACAAAACGAGTTTTTAAAATATCTTAGCAATAAATGTGTTTATTAAATACAATAAAATTTTATTTTTATTTTACATTTATATTATTTCTTAAACGAATACATTATATTAAATGTTTATTGTGTTTTAAAACAATTTTTTCTGAAATATATATATTTGTGGAATTATTATTTCAATTTCATTCGATAATATAGCAGTAAAGGTAAAAAATACAACAAAATATCATTTTTATGAATGTATGACTGTTTAAAATTCCATTAAATATGAAAATTTAGAATGTTTTCGATATGTACACAACTTTGGAAGAATTAATCTATGCTTTTTCACTGGTTTTATAAATCTATTTGTAGTAAAACGCTATATAGTTGATTGACTGTATCACAGTTCTAATATCTGTCATTGTAAAAACTGTTTTCGATTGAGAAGTTACATTCACTTGCACATATCTCTCGACTTAGGGATTATAGAGTCTTTGTATAATATTTCTGTAATCTGATACTTTTGGTCTTAATTTTCTAAAAATTCATCAAATATCTTTGAATCAATATCTAACACTATTTCATCCAAAGATGGACCTTGTGATGATACTGGCAACTCTAAAAATATGGAATAGATGAATTAATTAACATTCCTTTGCGTATTACATGCATGTGTGTGCATCCCCTTTTTGAATTAAATTTATAAAATAAAATAATACTTGGTATAGATCCGGTTGCTTTATATTCTTCGAGATCTTCTTTAAAAGCTTCTTCAAAAGTCTCGCGTCGTTCCTTCAATCTTTTTTGCTGATTTAATTCATGTTGTGAAACTCTCTCAATGTGTTCGTTAGACAGTATTGCTAAAGAAACAAATTGATTTGAAATAAATCATGACAAAACTTAAAATAATTACAAATATTTAGTAAATTATTTATATATACAATATGTATGTATGTTTGTACCTTTAAAATTATTCAATTCTATCAATTTCTTCTCCTTATACAAAGCCAACTGGAACCTATGATCCAACTGTCTACTTTGTAGATCTAGCATTTCGTTTAAGTCTTCCAATCGATATAAAGCTCCTTCAACCTCTTCAAACATTTCTTGCAAATTTCCTTAGACACAAACAACTGTTTTAAAAAACTATTATATACTTTTTTTTCCTATATTTTAAATTTTATATTTTGAGTCCAAGCTACCTATCTGGTCCATTAGGTCTTGAATTGAATTATTAATTTTTGGAATATAGGCCAAAGTGCTATTCAAACATGTGATACTATTCCATTCGTGTTGAAGTTTTTCATAAATAGAAGATATCAACGCATCCACTTCCTGAGCTTTTCCCGCATTTTCTTCGGAGAGCTCGTGAAGCTCGTTCCATTGTAATTGAAATCGATGCAACACATCTGCTCCAGCATCATAATTTACTTTTCTTACATTGGCCAACTTTTTGCTCTTGGCATGTTCAGTGGTTGACAATCCTCGTATACTGAAAAGTAATGTTTCTCCAAAAATTAAAATATAAATATTATTAAAATATAAATATTATTATAAATTCTTGCTTTTGTCACATCTTACCGCTATATTAAAAAAAAAAAAAAAAAAAGACAAACACAAGAATAAAATATAAGCAAACAATTAATAATAAATGTGCAGATTTTTACCTAGCGGATATACCTTCTTGCACGGTTTGAAATTTGCTACGCAATGATCCAAACATATTTTACTGGCTCGGTGATAAACATTCGTTACTGTCTAACCTCTCGCACGCAATTTCAGGTTTGATTGTTATGTACTAAATACAATAAAGTTATATTATATATTTCATATGTTTACGTATAATTTTTTTTTATCAAATGCACATTACAATTGTTAAACAAGAAAAAACAACAATAATAAAACACTTTTGTTTATTTTCAAGTTACGCCCATGAGAACGGTATCATGTGCGAACACTGAAAATGTTACATTAAGTACGTGACTAACATGACGAAAATAGTGTTTTGCTAAAATTGTTAATTAACGATATATAGCCACGTGAATAAAACAAACAACATGTTTTAAAGTAATTTTTGAAGTTTTGTTAAAACATTTGTTAACATTTTTGTTTGAACATTTGTTAAAACCGAACAATTAGGAGAAACATTAAAAAAATTTTAATGTCAAATCTTTAATTATTTATTTACACTTTCAGACTGTTCGACATTGAAAACATCGAAATATCGAACTGTTTGATATATTTCAAACTTTTCAAATGGTCGAATCACGCAATTTATCTGAATCTTTTCAGGATAATTTATTTTGACTTGAAACAACCCGGTAAAAAATTTTTTATGTATAAAATTGTATAACATATTCGGTATATGAATTTGCATAATTAGATATAATAAGTTTAATTTGTGTATAAGTATATATGATTATATATCAAAACTTTTTTAAAAATATAGTAAAAATATAGTTTTATATAATTTTTTGTATCTAACATGATACTAATAGAGTTATTTTGTAATTTGATATGCAATATCTCTGAAGCCATTCTCTTAAAAAAAGAAATTCTCCGTGTATAAAATTGTATCGACATATTCGGCATATAAATTTGCATAATTAGATATAATTATTTTAATTTGTGTATAAGTATATGTAAAAAAGTTTTTACCGGGAAGGAGTCGTGATAAAAAAAATTTATATTTAAATTTAATTTTAATTATATTTCAATATTGTAATTACATTTTAATTTATAATTAAGAACACATTGTTGCAAAATAATGTATTCCTCATTAAATCACAAGAAATATAAATATTTCTACAATACATTAACCCGGTAAAAAATTTTTCATATATATTTATACACAAATTAAAATAAATTATATCTAATTATGCAAATTTATATGCCGAATATGTCCGTACAATTTTATACACGGAGAATTTCTTTTTTCAAGAGACTGGCTTCAAAGATATTTCATAGCAAATTACAAAATAACTCTATTAGTATCATGTTAGATACAAAAAAATTTTATAAAACTATATTTTTACTATATTTTAAAAAATTTTTGATATATAATCATATATACTTATACACAAATTAAACTTATTATATCTAATTATGCAAATTTATATACCGAATATGTCCGTACAATTTTATACATGGAAAATTTTTTACCGGGATGTCGTATAAAAAATATTATAAGTGTAACACCTTTGAAATTAATGTTTTGAGAGCAAATGTAATATTATAAGTATATAAGTATATGTAAAAAATTTTTTACCGGGAAGAAGTCGTGATAAAAAAATTTATATTTAAATTTAATTTATTATATTTCAATATTGTGTAATTAAATTTAAATTTATAATTAAGAGCACATTGTTACAAAATAATGTATTCCTCATTAAATCACAAGAAATATAAATATTTCTACAATACATGTCGTATAAAAAATATTATAAGTGTAACACCTTTGAAATTAATGTTTTGAGAGCAAATGTAATATTATACATGTATATATATATATTATAAGTATTATTAACAATCAAAGATTAGTGTTTTTGTGATAATTTGGCTCGCATGATAATATCAGTAGGGTTTATATTTACATACGTAATGAAGTGAGATAAAATCCAGTTAAAAAAAATGATGGAGGCACGGAAAAATTTAACATTTTGTTATTTTGACTTCATCATTTATTTTTATCATATTCTTTGACATCATTGCTTGTTAAGACTGTGTTCCGATATTCACTGCTAGTACTTAAAAGTCTATTCTCTTCACGTCGCATATGCTATAGATTCTAGCAGTACTGGTGGTGAATATCGGAACGCATTCTTAACACAGGCGACGTATATGTCAAATACAAAAATAAATAAGAAGTCAATTAACACCGGCTTGACACGGTGTGTCTAAAACTGCGTTCGGGGAGCGTCCTATCAGCGTTATTGCGTTATTCCACACGTTATTTTAGATTTAATATGAGCGATAAAAATATAAGCGTAAAGAGAGCGCGTTTGCCTTGAGCGCTTATACGCTTTTTAAGGACGTTCTCCGAATTATTGATTTTTGTTGGATTTTCTTTAAATTTGCGATATACATAGTTTATGATCTTATTTATAAGTAGCCTTTTTGGATAATAGGGGTAGCAATGTTAAATTCCAAAATATGGAAGATTTAAGTTTCAATTTTTAACATGGATTTCCTATGCTGAGCCTTTGTGAAGTGGGGTTTTTTAAAGTTACTGACGACAATTTTTGTAGGATTTTTTTAAAAAACAAGTATGTGGTAGCGGAGAGTGTCTTAATTAAAATACCATTTTGAATAATATGGCAAGCAACCCTTGTTTTCAAACTATAGCTTTTTTTTTGTTTTTTTTTTTTTGGTTTTTTTTTTGTTTTGCTGGATTTATGTGCGCTATTGTGTACTGCAGCTATTTTTGAACTTCTGCGCAGAGTAAGCGGGTCTTAGCAGTGCTGAATAGCTCAACTTAACTTTGTTACAGCAGTACAAACTTACTCACGAGAAGAGATATTTTAGGTTGCTAACCACTGTATTTAGGTTGCTAACCACTGTAGTCGGAGAACGTCCTTAAGTGTTACTCCGTCTTGCTCTCAAAGATTGACGCTCAAAGCGCGTGAGCATCTGATTGTGAAAACGTATTCTCAGTGGAATCTTTTGAGGTTTCCGAGTTCGAATTTGCCTAACACCGTTTTCCGTGTTAATCCCTTCCATCCAAATTTATCGATTAAAAGACAAACTGTATCGGGCTTCCAAAAATTAATTCAAACAAGAGAAAATCTTGAGCTTTCTTCTGAAAATTATTCGCGTCAATTAAACAGTTCTCGGTCGATCACTGAAATCGGGACGGCGCAATATTACGTCCACGGAACAAGAGAACAGTGTGCTGTAAATATAATCAACAGATGTCACCATGTACAGAATGCATATGGCTTCCGAGCCTCAATATATCAAATCAAATCAGTGTTTAACTAAAATAGGACACACATGTGACATAAATATATATTTCTTTGTTATAAAATCTACACAATATATATGCACATGCGCAACATTTTGTAATTAATTTTTTATTAAAAAAATGAATCAAAGGGCCGATACGAGCAGTAAATACAAGGTGTTAGTGTATGAAAAGCAGTTTTTTTTTTTTTTTTTATTAAAAAACACAACAGACGTTTCGGTCCATGGGTTAGGACCTTCTCTTACGGATTAATTTTTTATTAACAATATATTCATTTATTACTACACATTTGAGGAAAACTCATATAAACAATACAGAAATAAAATATTTAGTTTAGTAATAAACGTATATATATATATACGCGCTTATTTGCGTATGCACACACATATATATAAAATTTTTTTTATACACATATGTATATACAATTTTCTGTATGTTAGATACACACTAAAAATAACTTTTGGAGCTTGATCCATTATTATATATATATATTAATAATTACTCGAAAAATGAATTTTTGAAAAATAAACTCGAAAAACATAGCAGTTGGAAAGAACTTTATGAATATTTTTCTTGGCCTTTTCTTGATTATCCATATGTGTACGATTTATATTCTGTAACGTTACACACACACACACACACACTCTTTCTCTCTCTCTCTCTCTCTCTCTCTCTCTCTCTCTCTCTCATTTGTCTTTTTAGAAATGTGTTATGTGTAAAAGCTTAGTTGAGTGAGCTGTGTCAAACAAACTCGTCAGAAATACTTTTGAAAACAAAAAAACTCAGATATAAAACTTTTGATATAAATTTCCGCAAAACAAAATTTTTTTATACCTGAAATTTCTTCTTTTGAGAGAATACATTCCATAACAGAAAAGGTATTTTAAAGGAGAAAAGAAAAAATGTATGTGAGAAAGTGAAAGAGAGAATAAAAAAAATCCGTTTACATTTCTCCGTCTGTATGTTACTATATGTTTGTTATTTTCAGTTTTTCTTGTTATACAAAAGCAAGAATACTTTGTACAATCGAAACACATATATTGTGCAATTTTATTTTTACAATTTTTACGTATATTCGATATAGACGAAAGTTAATAAAGCAATAAACTATAAACAAACAAACAAAATATTAGTTATAATTGTCAGTTTTATGTGAAAAAACAAAAAAAATATTAAAACAAAAAAATGTTAAACAAAATTACTTATTCAAATGAGTGATTAGTCGTATTGAATCTGTATAATTGATCAATCATTTCTGTTCGCGATATTTAGGAATTTTCAATACACGGATCCGCGCTAGTTGGATGATTACATAGTTGGTTAAGTTGCAATGAATTGGTTAGAGTTGGTTGGTGAGCACAGCTCGGCAACGTCGCTAAAGCTTTCCCTCTTCCTCTCCCCGCTCAGGCAGGCGGCTGTGCGATGCCTAGCAACCAGTGAGGTCAACAAACGAGGTCAAATTGTAAAAACCATATTGCGAGAAAATATCGTATTGCTGATTAATCGCTACGTATAGTTAGGACACACATTTAATTGTTTCTCAAAACAATATCTCAAGAAAAAGATAAGCAATATAAGAAAATCAAAGAGTAATTTATGTTGGAAGAAATATTTTTTATGACGAAAAAACAAATTTGCAACAATAAATTTTTGTACCGAGTTCGAGAGAAAATTTTATGCAACAAATATTGTGACTTGTGAATCAACGAAAACAAGAATACAAATTTCGAGAAAAGACTTCAAAAAGTTTTAAACACATTTTTTTTATTTTTGAAAGAATATTCGAAATTTTGCTTTTACAGAAAACATTTTTTGTGCTTAGCTATTTGAATAGAAATACCTCCGGGAGTGGTTCTTCTGTTACTAAATTAGAGCTCACGACTATTCATTGTGCCAAGGCTTATACAGCTCTGAAAAAAAGTTTTAAAAAAGAAATAAAAAAAGCAAGAAATATAATACACACAAAGAACCCTGCTGCGTTCGTAGAAGAGCGGAGCGGAGCAGGAATCAAGAGGGAACGAAGCTGGAAGGGATTCGTCTTGGAGCAAGCTGGATTGGTAAATGTATAGAAGTCCTACGTGGATGTGGATATGCGTCTTTCTTTGTGTGAGGTAAATGGTGAGAAGAGTGGGGATGCGATGCGGGAAAATGGAGGATGGTATCTCCCGTTGCGTATATACCAAGAATACCGAGTATTCTCTCTCTCTCTCTGTCGGTCGTTTCTGCCGTTTCCTATCGTTAGGGTAAGGTAAGCGAGCGCGTCAGCAATAGAAGCGATCGACTGACCAGCAACGCAACGACACAGGCGCAGTGCGACATGGAAAATTCCAATTCTATTTCGTTCCCACTCTTTGCAGACGTTGGAGGGCGTGGATGTGGTTGGTAGAAGAATATTACTATTTTTTTTTTTATTGCGTTTTCTGCAAACACATTAACTCGAGTCGTCGGTTGAGTAATATCGGCTTGTATGTGGTTGTATTACATTCTCGATGTATTATATACATACATACATACATGCATAAAACCAACATATATACATACATGCATAAAACCAACATACATACATACATACATACATACATACTCATACATACTCATACATTTGCGGCTATATAATTTTGTTACCAAGGCCATGCAATTATCCTGACTGAGAGAGATGGAATATTACAGATCACGTATTTTATACATGCACAAAAAATGTTAATATTAATAAATTGTTAATATTTAAACATTTTTAAACATTTTTTTGTTGCAATATAGAGAACAATAACATATCGCTATAGTATTCTATTTTGCAATAATATTCTGATTTTCAGTTTGAACCAAGGACACACGCAATAAGGCTGCGTTTTATATTTTATGTGCTGTCTTCATTTATTTTATATTTCCGCGATAACATATTTATTCAATATTTATTCAATAACGGCATACGATCTCCCACGTACATGTAAATAAATAATAATGATAATTAAACTATAAATATAAACTAATATAGAATAAATAAGAGACATAGAATAAATAAGATGTTCAGCAATGAAAAAATATTAGAGAGAGAGAGAGAGAGAGATGAGTTTTAGGTTGCGGATAGGTGGGAACGGAAGCAGGTCAGACTACTTTGCAATAAAGCTCGAATTTGTGCTAATGAGATACTATTAAGAATTCACCACTAATCTTTTGTTACTTCTCTCTCTCTCTCTCTCTCTCTCTTTCTCTCTCTCTCTGTCTGTCTGTCTCTCTCTCTCTCGCTCTTCTTTTTCCGCCCAAGCGGTATAACTTGAGCAAAACTTATCAGGAGAAGAGCAAGCTTAGAAAGTTTGTGCGCAACTCGCGTACGGTGAAACCGGGTTTGTGAGGGAAGACAACAGAGGGGAATGGTGGTTCAACGGACGTCACACGATCTTCCGTCTCTTTCTTTCTCTTGTTCTCAATCTTCTTCCCTCTCTCTGCCCTCCCGCGCGCCTGCTATTCCGTACTCAAGTTACGTCGCTACTATATCGTGGTAATCCCGCCTGCTCCACGGAAGGGTATTACCCTCTCTGTGCGATGCAGCTATTGCGCACACTAGCACGTCTGTTAACCGTAGTGCGACGGTTATATACCGCGGGGTGGGAGAACGGAAAAGGATCGATAGTCAAGTATTAGAACGAGAATACCGGCAGCAGTCGGGTGAATATTTGACCCATCCAATTGCGTGCTTGCAGCTTTACACAGAGTCGTCGCAATTATGACTGACTGTATATACGTCACTCTCATTAGTGTTTCGATATTCGCTATATCAACTTCATTAATGTGCGATTAATTATTAATATTTGACAACGCTTCGCCGTGACAACGACGAATTTTAAGCAATGTAAACTATGCTGCATGAATAAATAATATCGGAGTAATGTCTTTTGTGTGAAATCGGCGGAGTTAACAATGGCAAGAAACCTTTGACTCCGGTGTTTTCTTGATGAATTTTTATTCACAGTTCGGGATTCAGTTGCCTCGCGTGATCTAAAAATAAATTTGGTTTTCTCTCTAGTCGAGTAAATTGAAGCGCGTGCTGGTTTTTGATTCTTACATAATGTACAAGTAGAGATTCCCGGTATTAAAAATTATCTGTCCGTATATATATATTGAGCTCAATCTTTTAAGTTTGGCTAATTATAAGAAACAAAAAAAGAGAAGAGAAAGAAAAACATATTATATTCATAAATATTTCAATCAAGGTCCATAACGATCAATAGACGGCAGATTCGGCCGTTTTCGACATATTTCGTCAAGTTCCCCTACTATAATTCATCCTCATCGACCATCAACCATTGCACAAGGCCACGCCTTGTTTATGTAAACACCGTCAGCTAAACCGAATATTGTTTAATGTAGTTATATTGTATATATATGTATATATAGATATGAAGATTTTTTAGAAAGTTACGCACAAAACAACTTGTTTACCTTTGAATGCACACATTTGCATAAACAAAATATCAAATATCATTTATTTGATTTTCTTCACGCGTATTGAGAAGACGTCGGTGAGCGACAAATTTTTAGATATTTAATCTCTCTTTGGTACGTACTACATAAAAAATCATTTTGTTGAATCACTATATTTTATATATCTTACAAATTTATAATTTGTTTAATTTTTTTCATTTGATTTTTTATAAAAAATTGCAACAGCTGTTTGTACAAAAAGCCGTTTACTTGATTAATTATTAAAATCAAAATGTATAATTTTTATAATAGAAAAATATATATATTTACGATAATATATATATGATTTATTTTGCACTGATAAATCCGCAAGATTTGCGGAATTAGTTGCTGGAAATTCAATAAATGACAAAATTCAAAATACATTATTTCCGTCGCAGCGCTGGTAACCAACTATCAGTCGTGTACGCATTACCTTGAATCAATGAAGCTACAGGACGAGTATTTTACAGTGTGGCTAAAAGAAAGTAGGAGGTGTCGCCTCCGGGAAACTACAGAAATGGATGTAATATTATCAATAGGGTACATTAACTTTACGATATAATAGAGATGCTGCTGAATATATATAGATATTCATTGTCTACCTATAGAATAGTGGCAATTAGACAGTTGGTGTAAACAATTTTACCGGAGCGAATGAGAAAATAAAAGAATCAGAACTGAAATCGAAAACTACAGTAATTGAAGAAAGAAGCACGAACGAGAGAAAAAAAGAGAGGTCAGATGGGTGGAACTTGGTAAGAGTGAAGGTAGAAAAGAATAACGAAAATAGAGACTGAAGAATAATATGAAAACCGACAAGGATGCAGAACAGAGAACGACGGAGACTCGAAATAGTCAGCGATTCCTCACTGCGCCTGCGCGACGACCCGCATTGCTCATTGGTTCCCCACTCTCATTTGAGTATATACATTAGGTTGACTTAATTTCTATTCCACAGCCTCTCTCTCTCTCTCTCTCTCTCTCTCTCTCTCTCTTTTCCTCTTTCTCTTTCTGTCTCTCTCTCTCTCTCTCTCTCTCTCCCCTGTTGTTCTTCTTTCATTTATTTCATCTCTTTTTTTTTACTTTCTCGCCATCGTATCTTCCTGCTTGTCCATATTCGAGATGTAATACTCTTTTATATACGTTCAATTCCACGCAAAGGGCAAACGCGACTGGTGTGACGTGTGTATTGTAAATACATACACATATACATACACGCCATTGCGTGAGGACAGCCATATAACCGACCGACTACTGAGGAGGTAGAAATACCGGGGAGTGCAGGTGAGTAAGTGAGAGTGAGAGAGAGAGAGAGAGGGGGAGAGAGGAAGAGAGGGAGGGAAGAAGGGGGAGGGAGAACAAAGAGAAGAGAAGATGCAAGAGAACAAGAGAAAGGAGATACCCGTGAAACGGTGGGGTGTGGAGAGAGAAAAGCGAATATTCCTGCATCGTCTACGCGACAGAGACCTGCGCATGCTGCTGAGCGCGCACCAAGCATTTTACAAAACAACGCATCTGAGCTCTCTCTGAACCCTGAACGCTGAACGTGCCTCAACAGTTCGGGACGATTCATCGAGTTGATTACCCTTGTCGTTCGCGCGCGCATTCATTCGTACCCTCGTGTCTTTTGTCGCCGCCATATTGGCGGCATCGATATATCGTTTATTAATACGTTCAGAGAGCGCTAAAACGCACCGCGCACAGCAGAGGCCGCAGCTTTACGATAGGGATTAGGAGCCGCGCACGCACAGCCTCTTACTCTGCTACGAATGAGTGTATAATATTGTTAATCAGCAGTGTGATGTAATATTTTTGGGCCAGTTTGATCGCATCAAAAAAAATTTTTCACTCGACCGCACACATCGAAACGCAACATTTATTTTTTCTGACGCAATTTTTTTCTCCAACAATTTTGCTATTATAATCGCGTATACGTATATATATAAATTTATATATGTACGTACATATAATACGAAGAAGGTTGTTGCTGCTGCGATCCATGAAAGAGTCGATTCTTTGTCCGTCGCATCGGACGGGTCTGACTAAGCGCTCGTGTTCAATTGACTTTACCTACGGCTGAACAGTGTGTTTGCCTTATTTGAAAACGTTATTAACGAAACATGAACGAGTTACTATAGTAGATAGTGTTTTGAATCTTCCCCCCCCCCCGTCGTGGTTGTGCGCACAAATTCCCCGCGGTTGTATCTTTATTCGCGCGCCGAAGAACAACACACGGGGCTCACTCTCGAAAGAAGACTCAATCGAGAACAATCGCGGAATAACGAGTTGCTTCGATGAAAATTGAAATAAGTGACGGTATGTGCATGCCAATATTGATAAAAAATAATTCACATCGGTATCATATGAGATAGTATAACAATTATACACACACACACACACACACACGTACTACGAGGTGTCCGACGGAATTGTTCAACCTAAGATATTATAAAAGCCGACGTGTTGATGACCTCATGACAATCTGCGTTATTGATAACAATGCCTGTAAGTACGACGCATGTCGCAATATTACAAATGTAATTTGCGCGCGTAAAAGATAAAAGATAAAATTATTTACGTTCATGTAAACACGAAACATTACGTATTTGTATTGTGACATATATATATATATCCGCGCTATTGGATTTTTTGAATGAATATACAAATTTTTAACTTACGTCTCTCTCGAATAAAATCACGGGTATTGTTTATGTGTTCGCAGATTGGAAATGAACAATCCGTTGGATCACGATTTTGAGGAATTAAAAAAATTTTCTTCAAAAAATAAGATCTGTAAGGACGGCCCGGTGGAACTATTGCAAAATTTCGGTAGGTGTGTGTATAAAGCAATGATCATTTTATATATATCTGAATTAATATTAATTCCACAAATATAGTGCAATAATTGTGTTTACTTCAAATATAAATACAAAATATTTTTAAATAACAAAACTGTGAATATAATTTTCGAAACTTGATAAAAAAAATTATTTTAATATTTTCTTAAATGTAAATTTATATATTGATATATATATATATCTATGGTGTATGTATATTACAATTTTTAATTATAAATAACACATTTTGGTATGAAAAAATTTATTGGCAATGTTTATTTGATGAAAACTTCGACTTATTCATAGGTTTTTTTTTTTTTTTTTTATCTCTATCAATATGAAGGATAATGTTGTTATGATATCAACTTTCGATCTTGCAAAAAAAGTACTGTTCGCTTGATATACTTTCTTAACTTTATTTCTACTTGTTCTTTTAAAAATAAATTTCAATTGTGATGTAATATAATTAATTCTATTTTGATATATTAATAATATATAGTTTATTTTCTTAAATTCTATGTATATGAGTACTTTATTACACGTATATGTAACGCAAAATATAAAAAAATCATACAGTCTATAGTTTAGTACAATTTGAAATCGTTATATACGATTCTTTCTTTTTATGTTACTATTTTCTTAGGTCAAAATTCATATAATTTAATTTTATATTTAAGATCATCTTAAGTTTAGTTTTTTGCCGTATGAGCCGTTTTATTGCTTGCAGATCATTTAAAGATGAACTTAAGAGGATTTTAAATAATAACTTTAAGATCCCCGACTATATCGATTTTAATGGCAAAAAGCATTTTCCAGTAACATGCTTAATTGTTTTTTTAAGTATATAATTAATAGCTATTCCTTACGTGTCATTTCAAAAAGACAAAGTTATAATAACATATGGTTTATGTTATGTATGTATATAAAATTAATATTATAATATTATTTTAATATTATAGTTATTATATAATAGTTGTGTGTACATGTATATATAGTAACATATATACACACACACTTTCGTGTGAACAAGAAAAGTCACTTTGAAAGTTATGTTTGGAAAAACAAGAAAGTATTTCTGCTGTTTTGAAGTTAGCTACACCGATATACGCTACACTACCGATATATTGATAACAGGATAGGAATTTGTAAATATACGACTTGGCAACTGAAGCGCGCATAATCACTTCGTAGTAATGATGATCGAATTACTTAAATTATATATGTGTTATACTTTATTATAGTTTACGTCTAGGGTGTGTGTGTGTGTGTGTGTGTTGACAATTATATTTTATTCGAAAAACATATTCTGATTGTGATATATTGTGTCTTGGCAGTTTTTTTTTTTTTTTTTTT